TTCAGTCTTGTCTTCCAACTGGTTTATGTCACTCCAGAAGGGAGCCATGAAACAGAGCCCACAGCAGAAGCAGCAGCTGCCAATGTTTCCACAAAGATGGACACACCAGTGACTCCCTGGAGCAATTCTAACCTAAAGTCTCGGGCAGAATTTTCCTGACAACATTCCTCTCCTCCTCCCCTTTAAAGGAGAGTATGATATAAATGAAGTCCTCATTTTATAGATAATGCAACTAAATCTCAAAAGGGGTAAGATGCCCAGAGCTCAAGGGGTGAGAATGGGGACACTGGGAAGTAGCAATCCCGGGCCTCCTTTTAGCCCCATTCACTCAGTCTTCTGGGGGAGGGCTCAGGAAAGTGCATGTGTGACAGCTCCCCCAAGTACTTCTAACACAACAAGCCAGGCGTGGCCCAGGGACCAGCTCTGAGATCAGATGGAGTAGGAAGAGGGGAAGAAGAAGCTGATGAGACTAGATTACATGCAAGGTTTCTGACCTTCAGACTATGATTTCTTAACTTTCAGGGGCCCATGAGGTCTGAAGCCTCCCCGACCAAGCCATACACAGGAAAGGTCAGAACTATTAGCTCAGAGAGGGGCTCCAGATCACCAAACCACAGGGAGAAAAATAACATGGTAATTACATGCAGTGAAGGGGTCACTGGGGATTGTGGGTAGGGGTGGGGAGTGGAAACCATTTACTCCTCAAGACTGATTTCATTAACAGTGAATCACTTTTGCAGACTGGAGTCACTTGCAATCAAAATTGGACCAATTAGCATACCCCAGGATTGTATTTCAGCCACAGGGAGCAAGGCATGCTCCAGGGCCGAAGGCCAGATGAAGACCTCAGAGTGACTTCATCCATCTCCTACAGAAGAATTTTCCTACATGGAGCTACCTTAGTTGTTCTCAGATTCATGTTAGGATTAAAATACATATATATATATATAGAGAGAGAGAGAGAGAGAAAAGCTGCAGATCCACTGTGTGTGGAAATATAAATTAGTACAGCCTTTTTGGAGAGCTGTCAATACCGATCACAATTTAAAATAACCATAAGCTCTGATACAGCAATTAGCCTCCTAGGAATTTATTGTACAGAAAAATACCTGCACAAGCTGGCAGAGACACAAGGAGGTACAAATAGGTTTACTGGAACATTTTTTAACAATAAAAACTGAAAATAACCCAAATATTCATCAACAGGAGAATGCTTAAATAAGTGAATTTAATTAATTCAGCTATCTTAAAAAGAGCTAGACCTATATAGTACTTTCATGGGGTGCACAAAATGTATTCAATGACTAGTTTTTATAGTATGATTCCATTTGGTTTCATATAAACCAAATGTAAGTTGAACACATTGTGTATGATTTCTGTGTGCATAAATAGATAAATCATCTGTATTCAATAATACCAATAGACAAACGCAGAATATGTTTATAAGAGCCTAGAAAAAAGTCTAGAAAGATACACTTACTGTTGATAGGAGTTACCTACTGGCACAGATTTGGAAGAAGACCAGAATTCACAGAATGAAGGGCTTCTAAAGACACTGCATATTTTTTAGAGTTTCTAGTTTTACCCTATGTATTTAATTGCTCATATAATTAAAAAATAATACAGATTTTTCTAAAGGAACTTGAGGGAGAGTTATTAACAAGATAATTATTAATAAAGGCAGAAGAAATTCAGAAAATAATCCGAGTAAAAAGATGAGAGATCATTCCAGAACCCCTCCTCTCTTCTGCAGGTCAGTCTCCATCTCCATCTCCTCTTTAAAAAGCTAGAAATTGGATCAGACAAATGCTTCAGAACAATTTTTCCTATGGAATAAAGGTACACAACCCCTTATTCATTCCCCTCCCCCTAGCCATCCCAAATCCACAGTGCCCCTGAATGAAAGGTTTACCAACTCTGGAGACCATTTGTACAAACACAGCAAAAAACAAAACCAATCTGACCACTAGAGGGAGAACATTACATGCAAAACCACTACAAGTTGCCACAGATGGAGGTACATGGGCTGGTTCCAAGAAACTGTCCAAAGCTAACAGCCCACAAGCAGTAATCAATATGATTCACCCTTAGGTTTGCATAATATTTCCTGGAGCAAAAGATGTCATTAATAAATATAAAATTACAAATGTAAATGCGGTTCCCATATTAGTGAGGTTTTTCCCACCCCACCAACCTGAGTATTTACAAATACTCAAGAGGCAGATGTGGAGTTGGAAGCTCTTTGGAAACCGAAGAAACAAAGCCCAGTTTGCAGTCCCGCGGCAGAGTGAGCGGTAG